CTAGCAGGTTTAGTGCTTCCTTTTGATTATAATAATTAAATCTTAAAGTTAAAACAGGTAAATAATTTAATCATGTGAAAAGTAGTTACAAAATATTTATGATAATTGTGGACCTGTACCTAAATAAACCAATATAAACCCTGACCCTGGGGGATGAGACAATGGGATTTAATCCAAGGCAGAGGAGGATAGCTTCAATACCGTGGATCAAGAGCCCCATTACTGGCATCAAATTTTATTTATTTATTTATTTATTAACAATTTGAGCACACATACAGAGATACAAAAAAATACAGATAAGAGCAGCATGCCAAAGCCACTTATATGCATAGCATTACGGGCTGGCTTAAAATTATTTTTTATTTATTTCCAATTTGTGTACACATACAGAGGTACAAAAAAAATACAGATAAGAGCAGTATGCCAAAGCCACTTATACTATGCATAGCATTACGGGCTGGCTTAAAATTAACTTAAGATTAACTAAGCAATGATTATTATTATTATTATAATCAAAAAGAAGCGCTAAGCCACAAGGACTATACAGCGCTGCTACTAAGCAATGATGAAATCAGTGATAAAACATTAATGTAAACAGATAACTATAAAGCACAAGTGAGTATTACAAAGACAGGTCATATGGTTGCATTCAGTTAGGTAGTGATTCTGTTAGGTAGTGTATTTAAAAAATAATAAAGTTAGATTGGGTTTTAGGTTTAACATTTATGTGATATAATTGTGAGAAACATTTAAGATATACAATTTATAATGTTCAGTTATTCAGTATTTATTTGGTTTTGGGTGAGTAAGTGATCTTTGAGAAGAGACTTGAATTTATAAACAGGTAGTGTTTCTTTTATATTTACAGGTAATGAATTCCAGATTTTAGGGCCTTTTATGTGCATTGAGTTTTTGCATAGTGTGAGATGGACACGAGGAATATCAAAGAGTGATCTGTGCCTTGTGTTATGGTCATGTGTTCTGTTGAGGTTGGCAAGGAGATGTTTGAGGGGAGGGTTAATATCAGAGTTAAGTGTTCTATGTATGTAATAGGTGCAGTAATAAGTATGGATGTTTTGTATGGTGAGTAGGTTTAGTGTATTGAATATTGGTGGAGTGTGCTGCCTGTAGTGAGAATTTGTTATCATTCTAACTGCAGCCTTTTGTTGGGTAATTAGTGGTCTGAGATGGTTAATTGTTGTGGAGCCCCATGCACAAATTCCATAGGTGAGATAGAGATAAATAAGAGAGTGATATAGGGCCAGGAGGGCTGACTGTGGAGCATAGTACCGTATCTTCGATAGTATGCCTACAGTCTTGGAAATTTTCTTAGAAATTTGTTGTATATGTGTATGAAATTTGAGTCTATTATCAAGGTGGATTCCTAAGAATTTTCCCTCTGTTAGCTTTGTGATAGGTGATCCATTTATCATTATGTTAAGAGGGACATCTGTAGCTCTGTTACCAAACTGAATGAAGTAGGTTTTGTCAATGTTTAGTGTAAGTTTGTTAGTACTCATCCAGGTAGATATTTTCTGTAATTCGGTATTTACAGTATTGGCTAGCGTGACTAGGCTCGGGTGGGAGAAGACGTATGTAGTGTCATCTGCAAAAAGTGTGGGTTTGAGTAATTGCGAAGCATTTGGTAGGTCATTTATGTATAGGACAAAGAGAAGAGGGCCAAGGACACTTCCCTGTGGGACACCAACTGTAATTGGTTGTGCAGAAGAGTTTGCCCCATTTGTGTACACATACAGTATTGGCTTCTGTTGCTGAGGTATGACTTGAGGTAGTTGAGGGAGTGCCCTCTTATACCATAGTGTGACAATTTTACGTGGAGCAAGTCATGGTCAACTGTATCAAAAGCTTTACGTAAGTCAATGAAGATCCCCAGTGGGACTTCTTTTTTCTCTATTGCAGTGTATATATGTTCTAGCATGTGTATAATAGCATCATTAGTATTTTTATTATGCCTGAATCCAAATTGGCAGGGGTTGAGTATGTTTTGGGAGATAAGGTAGGAGTAGATTCGTTTATGAATTAATTTTTCGAAGATTTTTGAGAGAGGGTGTAAGTTGGATATTGGCCTATAGTTATTCAACTCTGTTTGGTCTCCTCCTTTGTGGATCGGGGTGACCCTTGCTATTTTGAGTACTGTAGGGAAGGTGGAGGATTCAATGGATTTGTTAAAGAGTGTTGCAATGATTGGTGATAGCACTTGTGACAGTTTTTTGTATATAAAGGGTGGTAAGGTATTTAAATCTCCTGCCTTGTTTTTTAGTGTGTTGATAATAAGGGAGACTTCGTATGGGTTAGTCGGAGCTAGGAACAGTGTGTTCGGGTAGTTGCCGGTGAGGTAGTCATTTGGTGGGGTATCTGAGCTTGGGATTTTATTGGCAAGGTTTTGTCCTATAGTGGAAGAAATCATTGAGTCTGTTTGCTGTTTCTGTTGGTGGGAGTTGGGGTTCATCTGATTTTGCTAATTTTATTTCGCTATTTCGTGATATCTTTTTTGTTCCCAGAATTTCTGATAGGATTTTCCAGGTCTTTTTTATATCACCTCGTAAGTTGGATAATCTGTTCTCATAATACAATTTTTTTGCCCTTCTTATCAGGCTGGTTAGGATTGACGAGTAACGTTTTGTTTGGTCTCTGGTTATGTGACCCATTCTGTACTGTTTTTCATATTAGTGTTTTGTATTTATGGATTTGAGAATGCTGGGTGTTAGCCAGGGACTGTTCAGTCTCTTAGCTGTCATCTGTTTAGTTTTTTTTAGGGCAGTGCTTGTTATAGAGGTATTGGGTCTTTTTTTAGAAAATTATTAATACATTCGTCAATATCTGTATAGATTTCTAGCTCAGTGTGCCAGTCAATGTTTGCTACTGCTGTTGTGAAGTTATTAATGGCTGCCTCATTGTGAAGTCTGAAGGTGACTTTAGTAGTGTCTTGGGGTAGTTTACCAAGAGTTGTTATGAGGAAAGTAGGGTAGTGGTCTGTGGTATTATCTGTAATTATGCCTGATTTTAAAGTGGATATGGTGTTGGTCCAGATGTGGTCAAGTAGGGAAACACTAGTCTCTGTAACTCTTGTAGGTTTTGTTACTGTTGGTAGCAACATACAGTTACTCATTGTGTTTGTGAATTCAGTAACGTGTGGGTCCTGGTCTTGCAGGAGATTTATATTGAAGTCACCTGAGAGTAGTAAGTGATCTTTGTTCATGCGTGCATCAGTTATCATACTTCCTAGGTTTTGACTAAATTGGCTAATGTTTGACTGTGGAACTCTGTAGATGTTTATCACTGTGAGAGGTTTTTGTAGGTATTTGGATTTGAATTTGGCTATTATATATTCCCCATGTTCATCCCTTGTGCAAGTATTAGTGATACATTCTAGTTGGTCTGAGTAGTATATAGCTGTGCCACCCCCTTGTTGGTCTGGCCTACAGTTGTGTATGGCTGTGTAACCAGGAATGGCATAGACATCTGTACTATCAGGCTTTAGCCAGGTTTCAGTTAGTGTAATGATGGACATATTGGCATGTAAGGAATTTAGTAATGCTAGGAGGTCATCGTAATGCTTGCTTAAAGATCTGATATTGTAGTTAAAGATAGTTATGTTGTTGTTGGCACTGAGAAGTGCCTTTGATTGTTGTGCAGTGTAGTAATTACAGTAACTGTTTGATTCATTTAAGTCATTAAATAAGAGGTTGGTATCAGGATCAATGCTTGTAATCTTTTTTTTTTTTTATTCGCCGGTATTCTCCCGGCCCGGGTCTTTTCCAAGTAGTGGTGACCCGGCCTTGGCTCCCTATCTGGGGAGTGTCTCGAGACTTGAGTCTCCCATGGGAGGAGGTAGAGTACCTCCTCATCTTTGGGACCAAGTGTCCCCAGGCCTAGCCACATTCCCCGCCCTCACGGGGCTCGTAGAGAGAAGCTAGGCCTCTGGTCTGCCATCTACCCCGCCTCATAGGGGCTCGTGGGGATGGCAGTCTTATGAGCTGCAGATGGTAGCAAGTTCAGGCCTCTCTTGACCTTCATGCTTGTAATCATAAGATTTGTAGTGAATCTATAGTTAGAATTAAGTATAAAACAAAGTAAATAGTCTTAAGCTAAAAAATAGCACCTGAATTATTTAACAAATGTAAAATAATGAGCTAAGGTAGTTTTTTTTTTTTTTTTAAGCTAAAATAAAGGAGACAATATAAAAGGGACTAATACAAATAAAGTGATGATCAAATAATGGAGCTTGGGAATATGATAGTAGGTAGTACTATAAAGGTAATTCTTTAAAGTTAGAAATGTGCAATAAAAACATAAAACAATCATAAAACAATAAGTGAATTATAGGAAAAGAAATTTTCATATATTTAATCAAGCTTCTCGAGGCTTAGGCAACCATTGTTGATCCGAGGAACTGGATCAACACTGATTGCCTCCCCAGAGCGCTGTAAAACCCTTACGGGTTTAGCTTATATGTTAGTATATTGCAAGACATATTAGGGACACATAAATTGGCAGTAAAAAGAGAATAAATAAAAGGAAGAAGAGAATTAAGAAGACAAGTGTAAGGGAGATAAATAAAAGTGAAATATACACATATAAACCAGGAAAAATAAAATAAATGATAGATATTTAAAAGACAGAAGATATATAAATACTAAGAATGTGATAATTGAAAAAGTTAATAAGAATGGAAATATGAACTTTGACTTTTATTTTGATAATTGTAGTTACGTGTAACTGTACCTAAATAAAAATAATTTATTTATCTGTTTCTTCTGGCTGTTATCGCCACATACAAACTTGTCTCAATCATTCAGACAGATCATATGTTAATATTATCCACCAACGGATTAGCATTCTTATAAGGGACAATAAATTTTACTTTATTGTTAGTGTAGGGTTTAACATGCGCTAGACATGGTAAAGTAAAGTTGTAGCAGTATGTAATAAACACAAATATTATTAAGGAAGTGGAAGCCAGAGCCAGTGAAGGATAGGGAGGAGGTGACGTCATTTCAACAGTAACAATGGCGCTTCTCTGGACAATTCTCGCAACCTTCGCTGTTTTTTCAACTTCCTCGGGAGAGGATGCCTTCCAGAACATCCTCACAGACGTGACATCCTGCGAGGAGTCCTGTAGCAAGTCCTACTCTCCTCACACTAACCCTGATGTGAGGAAATAACTCATAAAAGTGATATATAGAGAGGGGGAGGGTCAACTTAGAGGGAAAGGCAGCAGTAATTATCGTCTCCCTAGACTAGTAATTATTTACGTTAACAACAACAACACCCGGGGTCAATACCGGGCAGGTGGAGACTTACTGGCAAGTCTCCATACCTCAACCTGGCAGCAAATATGTACTGTTTGAGTATTGAGGGTCACATCTTGGGGGAGGGGTGTATCTGTCACATCTTGGGGGAGGGTGTACCTGGTCACATCTTGGGGGAGGGTGTACCTGGTCACATCTTGGGGAGGGGTGTATCTGGTCACATCTTGGGGGAGGGGTGTACCTGGGTCACATCTTGGGGGGGGTGTACCTGGGTCACATCTTGGGGGAGGGGTGTACCTGGGTCACATCTTGGGGGAGGGGTGTACCTGGGTCACATCTTGGGGGAGGTGTACCTGGGTCACATCTTGGGGGAGGTGTGTACCTGGGTCACTTCTTGGGGAGGGGTGTATCTGGGTCACATCTTGGGGGAGGTGTACCTGGGTCACATCTTGGGGAGGTGTACCTGGGTCACATCTTGGGGGAGGTGTATGTGGGTCACATCTTGCAGGTGTACCTGGGTCACATCTTGCAGGTGTACCTGGGACACATCTTGCAGGTGTACCTGGGTCACATCTTGGAGGGGTGTACCTGGATCACATCTTGGGGGAGGGGTGTACCTGGGTCACATCTTGGGGGAGGGGTGTACCTGGGTCACATCTTGGGGGAGGGGGTGTACCTGGGTCACATCTTGGGGGAGGGGTGTACCTGGGTCACATCTTGGGGGAGGGGTGTACCTGGGTCACATCTTGGGGGAGGTGTACCTGGGTCACATCTTGGGGGAGGTGTACCTGGGTCACATCTTGGGGAGGTGTACCTGGGTCACATCTTGGGGAGGGGTGTACCTGGGTCACATCTTGGGGAGGGATGTACCTGGGACACATCTTGGAGGAGGGATGTACCTGGGACACATCTTGGGGGAGGGATGTACCTGGGTCACATCTTGGGGGAGGGGTGTACCTGGGACACATCTTGGGGCAGGGATGTACCTGAGTCGCATCTTGGGGGAGGGGTGTACCTGGGACACATCTTGGGGGAGGGATGTACCTGGGTCACATCTTGGGGGAGGGATGTACCTGGGTCACATCTTGGGGGAGGGATGCACCTGGGCCACATCTTGGGGGAGGGGTGTACCTGGGACACATCTTGGGGGAGGGGTGTATCTGGGTCACATCTTGGGGGAGGGGTGTACCTGGGACACATCTTGGGGGAGGGATGTATCTGGGTCACATCTTGGGGGAGGGATGTACCTGGGTCACATCTTGGGGGAGGGATGCACCTGGGCCACATCTTGGGGAGGGGTGTACCTGGGACACATCTTGGGGGAGGGGTGTACCTGGGTCACATCTTGGGGGAGGGATGTACCTGGGACACATCTTGGGGGAGGGATGTACCTGGGTCACATCTTGGGGGAGGGATGTACCTGAGTTGCATCTTGGGGGAGGGATGTACCTGGGACATGTCTTGGGGGAGGGATGTACCTGGGTCACATCTTGGGGGAGGGATGCACCTGGGTCACATCTTGGTGGAGGGATGCACCTGGGTCACATCTTGGGAGAGATAAGATAAGATAAGATTTCGTTCGGATTTCTAACCCCGGAGGGTTAGCCACCCAGGATAACCCAAGAAAGTCAGTGCGTCATCGAGGACTGTCTAACTTATTTCCATTGGGGTCCTTAATCTTGTCCCCCAGGATGCGACCCACACCAGTCGACTAACACCCAGGTACCTATTTACTGCTAGGTGAACAGGACAACAGGTGTAAGGAAACGTGTTGAAATGTTTCCACCCGCCGGGAATCGAACCCGGGCCCTCCGTGTGTGAAGTGGGAGCTTTTAGCCACCAGGCCTGGTGGAGGGGGTGCACTTTGGTCACATCTTGGGGGTACACCTGCCTACCTGGAGGTATTATGGGGGTCAATGCCCCCATGGACTGGTCCATGACCAGGTTTGGTTGTGGATCAGGGTCTGATCAACCAGGCTGTTGCTGCAGACTGCTTGCAACTGACGTAGGAACCACAGCCCAGCTGGTCAGGTACTGGCTTTAGGTGCCTGACCACCGCTTCTTGAAGACAGCCAGGGGTCTATTTTTAATCTCCCTTGAGTATGCTGGGAGGCAGTTGAACAGTCTTGGGCCCCTGACACTTATTATATTGTCTCTTAGTGTACTCGTGGAGCCTCTACTTTTCACTGGGGGAATGTTGCATCTCCTGTCGAGTCTTTTACTTTCATTGGGAGTGATTTGTGTGTGCAGGTTAGGGACCATTCTTTCTAGGATCTTCCAAGTGTAGATTATGATACATCTCTCTCGCCTGCGCTCCAGTGAGTACAAGTCAAATGCTTCCAGGCATTCCCAGTAGTTATGGTGTTTAATGGCATTTATATATGCAGTGAAGATTCTCTGTACACTCTCTAGATCTACAATTTCACCTGCCCTGAATGGAGATGTTAATGTACAGCAGTATTCCAACCTAGAGAGAACAATTGATTTAAAAACGATCATCATTGACTTGGCATCTCTTGTCTTTAATGTTCTCATTATCCATCCTATCAGTTCCCTCGCAGATGTGAGAGTGGCACTGTTGTGATCCTTGAAGGTGAGGTCTTTGGACATTACCACACCCAGGTCCTTCACATTACTTTTCTGCTCTATTGTATGGTTAGAGTTTATAGTATACTCAATGCTAATTATTATTTCCTCCAGTTTTCTATAACGGAGTAGTTGGAATTTGTCTTCATTGAACATCATATTGTTCTCCGTTGCCCATTGGTAAACTTGGTTTATGTCTTCTTAGAGATTTACTGTGTACTCAGTGGATGGCACTCATGCAGATCCTAATGTTGTCTGCAAAGGTTTACATCTCTGTCTTCGTCTGATATGATGATGATGATGAGGAGGATGGGGGAGTACTTTGCCTTGTGGAACAGAGTTTTTCACTGTGACAGCTTTCGATTTAACTGTTTATCACTACTCTTTGGTTAGGAAGGTGAAGATCCATCTGCCCACTTTGCTGGTTATCCCTTTAGCATGCATTTTATGTGTATTACACCATAATCGCACTTGTCAAAGGCTTTTGCAAAGTCTGTGTATGTTAAGTCTGCATTCTGTTTTTCTTTCAGTGCATCCTAGACTATATCATAGTGATCCAGTAGTTGGGAGAAGCAGGAGCGACCTGCTCTGAACCCATGTTGCCCTGGACTGTGCAGTTTATGGGAATCCAAGCAATTTGCAATCATGCTTCTTAGTACTCTTTCAAAGATTTTTATGATATGGGATGTTAGAGCTATTGGTCTATATTTCTTAGTTATTGCTTTGCTGCCACCTTTATGGAGTGGGGCTATATCTGTTGTTTTTAGTGATTGTGGAATTTCACCCGTGTCTATGCTAATCCACCACAAGGCCTGGTCACACACCGGGCTGCAAGGGCATTGACCCCCGAAACATCCTCCAGCTATACTCCAGGTATTCCTGGGTATTAGGAGTGCTGGGGTCACATTTTGGGGTATAGCTGGGTATTACTTTTCAGGTAGCTTATCTATAATACAGTGGTACCTCGGGATACAAACAGCCCAAAACTCGAACAATTATGCAAGTGTATTTATGTAAGTGCTTTTGTAAGTGTATTTTTAGGGGTCTGAAACAGATTAATCTAATTTACATTATTCCTTATGGGAACAAATTCGTTCGGTATCGGCACTCAAACAGCCTTCTAGAACAAAATAAATTTGTATCCCGAGGTACCACTGCATTAAAATACACTCTTAAGAAAATTAAAGTATCTTATCATTGTCACTGCAACATTTGCCTTTTTCTTAGTTACAATCTCATTGACTGAAAGTTCACACAGAAGGTATATTTAGGTAACTTTGCGAGGTGAAAATGCATAAGCAAGAACCCCAAAGGAAATAAATGACTTGACTTTTTTAAGTTATTCTGGTGGTAGGTTACACATGTTTCTATGTGTGATACTTATACTTATGTATATCTGTACCTAAATAAACTTATTAAGCACTGCAGAATTCTGGTATACACATTCATTATTCAAGTTACTGTTCTTGTAAGCATTGATATGCTCATCGATTTCCAGGCTTTGTGATGTTTTACAGACACATATACCTTGTCTACAGGGGTCTGTGTAAAGCCTTGCATTGAATGGTTCAGGGTTCTTTAATTTAGTTCTGATTAGGTTTTTGATGGAGGTACTAGTTGTATGTACACCAAACCTTCACCAAGCTATATTTTCCTTCCTTTTTCATCAAGGACTGTAAGAAAAGAGCCCTCCAAATCATCAGTTCTTCATTCCAGTGTTGACTCACTTTGAACATCTCTGAATTATACTCGCACAAGCCAACACTAGAGTTGACATCACGACCATCAAAGAGCGGACCAAGACTAAATTGAAGAACCTTGAAGTCAATGGAGGGGTTTATACAATCCCCTGTGGAGGCTGTGATAAAGTATATAACAGTGAAATGGCACAAAGCCTGAAAACACATCTTGAACATAAGAATGCATGCAGGAACAGTAACTTGAACAAAGTACAACATTGGGACTCTGCCAACCATATGATGAGGTTTAATAATGTCCGTCTTGTGATTAAAGAACCCTATTTCCGCAGACGAAAATGTCTTGAATCCTCCTTAATCACCATTTCAAACTATTAAACAGAATGAAGACAGCTTTGTCATCTCTGAAGTATTAGCAAGAGTTCTCAAAACAATAAACCCCACCATCACATAGCAAACATGTTACCTCCACCGCTGCCACTAGATGTTTGGCTGCTAGATGTTTGAATACTATGATATAATGTTCTAGTGTATGGCCTGGTCTCTGTCTACACACTTACATATCAGTGTCATCTCCCTGCAGACTACTGCCAGAGATACTTACAGCCTCTTAGCCACCTCAGTCTAGCAGTAACAGTGCTTTGCAGTCAATGAATCTTCTAACACTTTTCATAGAATGTTTTTACAGGTCGTATTCTGTTACGATAGCTAGTGCTTATCTGTTTGTTCTTTTTTTTGCAATGTTTTCTACTTCTGTTTAACAAACTAAGGTAATATTAAGGACTCCCTTTATTTAATGCTATTTGAACTTAAGTTATCAATCTTATCATGCTTCTAGAGATCTCTTGAAGAGAAAAATATTATTTTTTATAAATTGTGTAAATTTGTGTAACTTCATACAAACCATTTTACATTCAGATCTTTTCAGTACATATCGTTCATTTCATCCTATTTCTATACAAATTTGTGTAAAATTGACTTTTAATACATATTCACAGTCACGTGATGTTGTTGCTTGTGGCCAAGGATGTCGCTTCTACTCTATTAGTGAGTTTGTCATGGAAGATCATCCTGACCATGGCAACACAATTGATGGCAGTGATGCAAATCCAGTAAAGAATGCTTGCTACAATGGTAAGAGAGCTTTAGTAATACAGTGGACCCCCGCCTTACGATATTATTTCATTCCAGAAGTATGTTCAGGTGCCATTACTGAATGAATTTGTTCCCATAAGGAATATTGTGAATTAGATTAGTCCATTTCAGACCCCCAAACATACACGTACAAACGCACTTACATCAATACACTTACATAATTGGTCGCATTGAGAGTTGATCGTAAAGCGGGGGTCCACTGTACTTTGACTACATATACGGTACAATGCACATTGACCTATGATGTATATACAATAATATTTTGGTGCTGTATTTGTCTCATTGTACCCATGTCATAAATCATATAGTACAGAATACTGCACAGTTCAGTATTCCACCTTCTAATTAATCCTTTGACTGTCGCAACCCCAAATCCTGAAGTGTCTCCTGGTGTCGCAAAATATTTAAAAAAAAAAAAAAAATTTCTTATGAAATGATAGAGAATCTTTTCCTGATGATAATGACACCAAAACTATGACATTTGATGGAAAACTTATGGAATTACACTCCTGCGAAGTTAGCGACCTCGGCGACATTTATGCATTGGCGATTTTGCCCACTTTGAGCCCTATTTTTGGCGAATTCCATTGTTCCAGTCCGCCAAACTCATAGCTTTTTCTTTAGAACTCCATTTGTTCTTTCGATTGAGTACAAGAAACCGCCCATTTACCGATTTCATCTACCCAATAAAGTGGTCAGAAACTGGCAATTTCATGCAAATTAAAAAATGTCAGTTTCCAAATAGGGTTCAGAATGAAAAATACAGACATTCCTGGCACTAAAATAACATTTTCTCTGTTCATCAGACACATCTCCAGGTCTTCCTTTCTATTTTGAATATTTATTCACACAAAAAATAAAAGATTTACTGTTATGCAGACTACTGCAATATTGTAATAATTGTATAAATAATGTCATCCCATTCGTGTGTGTATTAGAATGGCTTGTTGGACATTTATTGGACAATGATATCATTTGTTTACTCTTGAACATCGGCAAAAATCGAACATTTCTGCCACTTTGAGCTCCATTTGAAGATCCTGTTAATAGGAAAATCAATCAGAATCACTTCTATTTCTATATGTTTTCCGTTCTATCAAATGAGACCAAGAAAACAAGAATACAACCATAAATACTATACGAAAATACACCTTGAAGTCGGCGTTTGAATTCTGAACCACGGTCGGAGTTTTTTTTCTCATTATGCACTGCATGCTGCAGGATTTTTTTATACTGCACAAACTGACCCCACAGACCCTACCAACTTTCTCCTGCTTGATTTGAAGCCGCTAGAATTTTTGAGTATATATATATCAAACACATTGGCTCGTAAGACGTATATATACGACCAAAACAGTCACAGGGTTAACCCTTTCTCTGTCCTGTTCTCTGAAATTAACACTTTGCTGTTTGTCACTTAGAACTGTGTCACTGAGGCCAGGGTCCCTGATGTCATTCATTTTCATGAGCTCAGCTTACTGAGATAAGCTGTGAGTGGTAAATTTTGGCCTAGATATGAGAGTGGATCAGTGCAGTGAGTGTGCATTGTATAAAAAAAAAAATTCTGCTTGTCATGGTGCTAGATGGGAAAACAAAACTGACCATGTGTGTAGTTTAAAACAGCAACTTGTGGTGTTTTCTCAGATAGTTCTTATGGTTTTATTGACTGTTTATTGGTATCATTTGATAGAATGGAAGACTTGTCCACCAACATTATTATTATTATTTTGTGTGTGTATGTGGGTGTGTTGGGGGGTAAGACTGTACCTGTCTGTGCATTTGTGCATGCACACTAATTTTTTTCAGGCTCTTCTTACAACCATAAGATTTCAGTCATACTGTATTCACTGACACTGAAGCTATAAATAGTGTAAATTTTCATAAAGCCTGGGTTGCTTTCCTGAAAATCAGTGTTACATGAAGTTAACTCTTCAAGGAGGGGGATGGGCTGCTTCATACTGGTAAGGGTCTCTTGACCATCTACTTTTTCATTGATTTGGCGGGACACCAAGACTGGTGTGCCAGAACTGGCCCCAGTTTTGGAGCTGTTCCTTTTGTTTTTCCTTATTTTGTTGTGCGTAGTGACCCTTAACTGTCTTAACCCCTTAAAATTTTTGGTGTACCGGGGGAATTTATTTGGTGGTAAAAAAACAAGGGCCCAAAGGGGCTTGATGCAAGTCTTTTGGGGGTTTCAAATAAAACCCTTGAATAAATTTTTTGGGCCATAAACCCTAAAACCAAAATAAAAATAATGCTAACCAAGGAAACAGAACCTTTTCCCATGGTTTGTTGTGAAATAAAAAGGGGTTTTTCCTTTACCCTTTACTGCATAGGAGTCTGTTTAATAAGAATAAGGGGTTTATGAAACTCCATTTTACTTGCTGAAGCGACCCATCTTTGTTAGCTTGAGTGGGAAAAAATTTTTGGCTAATGTTGGTTATTGAGGGCATATTTTCAGTTTACCTCTTCTTTCCATTAAAATTTAAGGGCTTTTCCAAAAAAATTTTAAAACCCTTTTGTTTTTAATTTGAAATAATGATTGATTGTTTTAAAATTTCAAGTAAATCCTACTACTCCCAACACTGGTAAATTTTTCATTTTCCAACACTGTTTTTAAAATAATAAGTTATATGTATTTTTTAGTACAGTTTTTTGGATGTAATTTTATTTGTTAAAATATTTGCGATGGTTTTTGGTTCCTCAATCCCTCCCCCCCAAAAAAAAACAGCCCGCAAATTTTAAATTCCCCAAGAGCTGAAACTTGGCAAGGAATAAGGTAGGATAATTTTGCTATGTCAGTATAGGAAATAAAAAAAAACCTTTTTTATTAAAAATTCCAGTTTTGGGGCCCCTATTTTCCCCTGATATTGATCCTTCTATACACCTTTCCCCCCCCCCCCCAAAAAAAAAAAAAAAAATAGGCCAGATAATATAATTAAAGAGTCTGAAGAACTCCCGGGCCCCTTAGGGGAAATTGTATTCTTTTACTAGTTAATTTTTTCTTTTTTTTTTGTTTTGGTTTTATTTTTTTTTAAATAAAATGTGACATTTTTTCATTAAAAAATGTCGGGGGCAAGAAAAAATTAAAACTGGTGTTGCACTAGGTATGGTGTTACCTTTTTGGGAAAATTGCGTCCTTTGCACCTTATTTCATTTTTAAAATTTTTTAAATGGTTTAAAACAAACTTATTTGGGGGTTTTGTTTTTAACTGGAGAGGCCCCCCAGGGGGTATACCGTTGCCAGTGAAAACTAAACCTGTAATTTTTTTCTGGGGTTTTTTTTTTTGTTTCTAAAATGAATTTTAGGACTTATTTCCCTTTTAAATTTGGCAATAAACATTTTTGTACAAGCTTTGTAAACGCTTCCGGAAAAGGGCAAAGCCCCCCAAATTTTTAAAGGAATTAAAAAAATATTGGGATACATAATTATATTTTTTAAACTTTTATTTTTTAAAATTATTTTTAAATTTTTAATTTCTGGATATTTTAAATTTTTAAAAAGAGTGTATTTTTTTTGGTAGGTTTTGGGCCGGGGGGCCCCTTCCCTTTGAGTCCAGGCTGGAAAACAGTACTTCAAAGGAAAAAAAACTGTAATAAAACCTTCGGTTTTTTTTATTTTTCTTTTAGTTCTTGTTTTTTTTTTTTTACCCGGGGGGGAATGGAAAAAGAATTTTTCTTTAGCCATGCTTGGTAAAAGGCACTAAAATGCCGGACAAGGGGCTAGAAACCCCCCCTTTCTGTAAGTTTATAAAAAAAATTTTAAAAAAAATTTATTTTTTATTTTTTTTTTAAATTTTTTTAAAAAAAAAAAAAATATTTTATATTTTACAGTGGACCCCCGGTTAACGTTTTTAACCTGAAAGGGGGTAATTTTTAGCAAATAATCGTTTTGCAAATGAATTTTTCCCCTAAGAAATAATGGAAATAAATTAATGTGCAAGCCCCCAAAAGTATAAAAAAAAAATTTTTTTTTACCACTAAAAATGTTTTTTTTTTAAAAAACACAAAACTGAAAAAAGGCATGCACAATTAAATGACCTTACTTTTATTGAAGATTGGTGATGATTGAGGGGTTGGGAGGAGGGGAGGATTATTTCTTACTGTTTAGAGGGGTTTCCCCCTTCCATTGGACTTAGGTAGTAAGCCTTTTCTGGGGTTATTTCCCCTTCTTTTTTTTAATCCACTAGGGCCAGTTTCAGAGTCATGGCTTTTTTCGCAAAGTATCTGTCCAAAGTGGCCTGTCCTCTCTTTTTTATGACTTGCCAAAAGTGTTTCAAACATTGTCGTGAATTAATCCCCAGCCGGTTTGCAATGCTGTTGAGGGTGTTTTTCATCCTAAAGGGTTTGCCTTCAAGCACTTAGCCAGATTTCCTTTATTTTTTGTAGTAGGCAATTCTTCAATTTCTCTCCCCTCCTTAAAACCATTTTCCCCCAGGTCGGGCCCTTTGCTCTTAAGTTGACTATCAGCTCATAGTGGTTAGTTCTTCATTGTCCTCCTCCCCCAACTTTTCCCCACATCCTCCCCACTAACCTCAACCCCAAGGATTTTCCCCAAATGCCACAAGGGAATTCCTCAACGGGCACGGATTTCAGGGTTAGCCTAAAACCCCTTTAAAAATCCCTTTTGTTCACATTCGGGCCAAGTTTCTTTCCAAGCGGGTTTTCAAGGCCTCTTAGTCATTCCCCCCAAGCCTTCCTAAAAGGTTACAAATTGAGGATATTTAAAGTGACTCTAAAAAACCTCTTAGAGTAGTTGGGGTTTCTGGGTCATTAAAAAAGCCCCTTTAAACAGAGCTTTTGTGTACAGTTTCTTGAAGTTTGAAATAACCTGCTGGTCCTGGGCTGAGGAGAGGCGTGGTTTTTAAAAGGAAAAAAACTTCCCCTTAATGAAGTCATGTCCCCAAAAAGTCGCTCTGCCAGTCTGTGGGATGCCCGGGGGGCTTGTCTAACCCCAGGGGGACTTAAGTTCTAATTTCTTTTCTTAGGAAATTTTTTTCCTTGGGGGCAAAGCAGGGTGTCAGTTAAGAAAAACCCCCTTTTC